AGTTGCTGAACAGTAGCAACTGGCGCTTGCCGAGCCGAATCCTTCTGCCGTCCGCGGAACTCGCACTGAAGGTGATTCTTTTCTAGTTTGGTTGTTGATAACATACATATGAGCGCATTTTGTCTGAATGTTAATGATTATTCTTTGTATGCTTGTGATTCGTGATATCTTAAGTGCTAAATATGATCCTTCTCTCTTTTCAGGTATGGGGGCGTACAGGTACCGTGAGAATCGAGCTCTGCAGGCTCGGGTTGAGGATTTTTAGAGGACGATCGATATCCTTCAGTCCTCTCTTGCAGAAGCCCAGCAGAAGCTAGCTGTTGTCAAGGCCGAGCATGACACGTTTCGTAACAGCATCTCCGTGCTCGAGTCGCAACTGGCTGTTGGGCTGCTGGAGAAGTCTCCGGACAACCCTGAGATCAACATGTTCCTCCTATCCCCGGACAACCTTGGCAACGTCATCCCGAAGACAAGTCTCTTTCCTAAAGAGTTCGTGGTGAGTTTTTGTTACGCTTAATAGCAGGCCATGCTCCTGACGATGTCCTTATGTGCGAGAATGTATGTTCCCTGACGATGTCGCGGTGAGTTTTTTGACGCTTAAAAGTCTGTATCCTACACCTTTGTCTTTCATCCCGGCTTCAGACAAAGGCGCTGGAGACCTACACATGGCTGATATCACTGGCGCCAGTGGATGTCATGGAGTTCTTCCCTTCATGGGAAGTGTTTCAACCCCATCTCGTAATGAAGTACCGTCAATCGGGACTCGTCCAAGACGAGTACTACTACGCGGTTGGTGGGGTCGAATTTGGAAAGCTGGCGCTGAAGGTGATTAAGACGAAACGCTCGAACAGCCACAAGAAGATTCGGTTTTATGCATGGGGTGCGGGTGGGATGGTTGACGAGAGTAGGTGGCCATTGCTCGCGGGGGAGATGATAATTCCTTCAAAGAAACGTGACAAGGCCAAGTGGCTGGAAGACTTCCGGCATGGTGAGTGTAGCAGTTTTCCCTGCTAACAATCCTTGCTAACGTGCTTGCCGTTTTCCCTGCTAACGATCCCTGCTAATGTGCTTGCCGTTTTCCCTGCTAATGTGCTTTCCCTGTTATCAATCAGTGTGTAGTGATCTGATCCCTGCTAACGTGCTTACCGTTTTCCTTGCAGTTACACTCGGGTTCGCTTGGCACGTCAACGCTGAAGGGATTCCCTTTGCCAACATCGCTTTTGAGAAGGCGGCTCTTGCTGGTTTCACTTGTGTAACCTCGAATTCGGTCTACCTAAAGATACCACATGTTGCATATCTGTGTGTTGTGGTAAGTTTCTGTTTTGTGGTTGTTATCTATACATTCATTTGTCAAATCGTCTAATTGCTGCTTGTGTTTTATATGTGCAGGTTGAAGCCCCCATCCAAAGCTGCCGAGTGAGGGGGAGGGGCCAACCTTCTCTAGGCGGCGTCTCATCCACCAACAGCAACTACGTCCGTGCCAAAACAAAGGTGGTCGTGACGGCTCTGCTTGAGGCGATGCTGAACAACCCTACATGCTTCAAGCACGATGAACCGAAGGGTTTGGTGCTAGGTTCTGGGAAAGTGAGGGTTTTGGTTGAAGGATGGGATATGTTCTGCCCTGGTCTTCTGTAGGTGTAGTGACTAATTGTAGCCATCGTTTTGTACTGATTGCTAATTAATGAAAATACGGTTTACAGTAAAATTTAATGTATATGAGGAGATAGAAACATCTGGTTTATATCGACTGGTAAACAACATTTGTCTATTGCAATCGTATGAAAACCAGGTAACCATATTCATTTTTGACTGGTGTTATAATTCATGTTACAAAGTTACAAAATTTGTATGAGTTATTTATTATACGGGTTTACTAATTACCGAATACACTACATTTAACAAAGTCGTAACTGTTACGCACTGGTAACATACCCCGTACTTCAAATTTCGCCCTCGACTGTTAACGTGATGGATAATGGCGAGCAACACTGGTTTATGAGCCGCATGTTGCTGTAAACGACCCTGGGTATCAACCCTGAAAAACCATACCCCAAGTTTACGTCTCGATACTTACCCAGTCGTAAATGGGAGCCCTAAACAACAATATCGCAATGAATCGAAATGGCCACCCGATCACTGTAGCAGAACAATCGCGGGTAAATGCCGATATCAACCCCCATCCGTTTTCTACCCACAAATCGCAATACCCCTAGTCGTTTATGACCATGTGTAGAAATCACAATCTGCACGTCATACACGACAGACACGAGGCCGTTTACCACCCAAAACGGCATCCACATCTTTCTGATGTGATTGGATGCTCTTCTTTTTTTAATCCAAACGAATCCTCCGGCTCCAATGGGATTCCGATGTGGAGAATCTTGAGACTTCGGCATGACGAGGCGAGGCGAGCAAAAAACGCGTCATTCAGAGTCCTCACGTAGCCGTCGCTAATATGGAGGTGGGTGGGGTTCGGGAAGGAAGCAAGGGCATTAACGAGTTTTTCGCTACAAACGGCGGCGGCTTGGTCATTCGCGGCGAGGTGAAGCGTGGCGACGCAGTTTCGCGAAAGACGGAGCCAACGACGGCAGACGGAGGAAAGAAGGAGAATTTGGCGAAGGTTCGTAGGAGGAGGTGTAGGCAATAAAGTCTCAATGCGAATTAGATGCAGGTCCTTTGGCGTCAAGGGTGTCAGAATAGTGAAGGAAGGAATGACTGAACTAGCAAGCAGGTGGGTACAAGTAGGAAACCTAAAAGTGTTGTACCCTATATGAACTACCCCACTACAGCCTAGACAGACTATAGCATATAAGTTTGACACACCCCCATAGGCAAAGTGGGGGAGAACAAGAGGTCACAAGACCGGTCAAGAAAGGCAAAGCAAGCTCAGGGTGGATCACGACGTCACCACGCATTCTGAGCACAAGCAAATGGCCACAAGGCCAATTCACATGCAGAGTTATATAAAGGAGAACAAGTAATACAATGAACACAACCTAGCAAGTGTAAGCATGCAAGTATATGTACAGAGATCACAGTACAAGCAGATTCAAGAAGTAAGCAAGTGAGGCACAGTAGGCACAAGGCCTTGAACAGTACAGAAACACTGATGATCACAAGGCTGAAGTGCCTTGGTGAAAACATCAGCAGTGTTGGTCCGAGTGGCCACGTAAGCAAGACGAAGCTGACCACGCTGCTGCAACTCTCGAGCAAGGAAGTAGCGCAGAGCAATGTGCTTCGTTCTGTGCTCCAGTCTGTGCTCCTGACACAAGGCAATCATGGCCTTGTTGTTGACGTACAGCACTGGAGGAGACCGAGGCGGCTCTCCTAGGTCGGTCAGCAGGTAGGTGAGCCAGCGTAACTCCTGTGCAGCCATGGCCCCTGCGTAGATCTCAGCCTCACAACTGGAGCTGAGAACAGAAGACGAGCGGGTAGACCGCCAAGACACAGAGCCGGAGCCAAGGCTGAAGGTGTAACCCTGTGACGACCGCTGAGTAGCCAAGTCGTCAGTCCAGGAAGCGTCTGCGTAACCAGTGAGGACAACTCGAGCCCGTCCTCCAAGCACGAGCCCCATGCCCGACGTACTACACAAGTAGCGCAACACCCTCTTAGCTGCATCCATGTGCTCCTTCCTGTATCTGCCAGGAGCGACATAGCGTGCTAGAATGCTAAGAGGGTAGGCAAGGTCAGGTCGAGTGCAGGTCATCAGGTACATGAGGCAGCCCACAAGCTCTGGATACGGGCCACTCAGCTCTACGGACTCGTCCGAAGGTGGAGTTGAGAGCGAGTGACTGGTAGGCAGAGGAGTGGACTGTGGCGAGGAGTACGTGAAGCCGAAGCGCTGAAGGACGTGCTGCACCATGTGTGACTGAGTCAAGGTAATGGTGCGCTGTGCTCTGTCCCGGGTGATCCGCAAGCCAAGATAGCTTGTTAGCTCACCCAGGTCTGTGCACGTGTGTCTCTTTTGCAGCTCCGACTTCACGTGGGCGAGTGCCTCTGTGTCAGCAGTAGCAAAGACCAAGTCGTCTACGTACACGAGAACGTAGAATGGCGGCAGAGTGGTGTCGGTGCGTAGAAACAGCGACGGGTCAGCAGTGGAAGGAGCAAACCCAAGAGTAGCAAGAGTCGTCCTCAGTGTGTCGTGCCACTCACGGGGTGCCTGGCGGAGACCGTAGACTGGCCGCCGGTGTTAAAATCTTAGGCGAGAATGGTTGACTAGGAAAAGGGAAGGGGTACAAGTAGAATGTCGAGAGAAACTTTGTACCCCCTAAGGCTAAACCCACTATAGCCTAGACAACTATAAACACATAAACTAAGCCTAGATATAACTAGGCATATATGTTTGACACACCCCCATAGGCGAACTGGGGGATAGCCAGAACAAGCAATGGTCACAAGGCCAGTCAAGAGAAGAAGCAAAGCAAAGCAAGCTCAGGGTGGATCACAAAGTCACCACACAGTCCGAGCACAAGCAAAGGGCCACAAGGCCAGTTCACATGCAGAGTTAAATAAAGAGAACAAACAATACAGTGATCATACCCTAACAAGTGCAAGCATGCAGGTATATAGATAGATCACAGTACAGGCAGAGCTAGGGGCAATCACAAAGGGCAAGTGAAGAGGAGGCTGGACTGTGAGAGGAGAGGAGATAGGAGGCGACTGCTGATGCTGCAGACACACGGGCAACAGGAGCGGCGCGCACTGTGGCTACCGGGGCCATATCCCCGGACTACAGGAGTAACTGGCTCTGCGGCTAAATCTGAGCGGCAAGAGCAAGGACCCACAGGCGACTGGCGCAGCAGGCTCGCTGGGCTACCGGAGATTGTAGCCTCCGGACTACTGGCGCTGCTGGCGACACAACGGCTACCTCCGCTCAACCTCCCCCATAACTGTCCCACCCCCCTTTCACACACCCCTTGCTGCACCCCTAGCTCCACTCCCACGTCACCCCCCTAGCACCACTCCCTCGGCTCCCACACACCCACCCCCCTCAGCGGCAGATGCAGCAGTGGGAGACGAAGGTGGAGGAGGAGGAGGGGATGGTTCACACACCCGCCACCCCCATACCCGCCACCCCGCAGTTGCACCCACACCCGCCACCCCCATACCCCCACCCCACTGCTGCACCTGCAGCAGGGGAAGGAAGAAGAAGGGAGGGGGGGGGGGGCTGTGCATGGCGCGTGCAGAGGGCAGCAGGGTGCGCACAGGGCAGCAGGGCAGCAGGGCGCGCAGGGCGCAGCAGGGCTGCAGGGCGCGCGGGGCGCGCAGGGCAGCAGCAGGGCAGTAGGGCGCACAGGGCTGCAGGGCAGCAGGACAGCAGGGCGCATAGGGCGCGCAGGGCTGCAGGGCAGCACAGGGCTGCAGATCCCCTCCCCCCACCGCTGCACCCGCAGCAGGGGTGGAGGAGAAAAAGGGGGGGGGGGGCTGATGCTGCAACTCCCCTCCCCCCACTGCTGCTGCAGATCCCCTCCCCCCACTGCTGCACCCGCAGCAGGGGTGGAGGAGAAAAAAGGGGGGGGGGGGGGCGGGGGGGGCTGGTGCTGCAGATCCCCTCCCCCCCACTGCACCTCCAAGCTCCCCCCCCTCCCAACACAGGGTGCGGCAGGGAGAGAGAGAGGAAAAAAGGGCGGAGAGGGGGGGGGGGGTGGTGGGGGGGCTGATGCTGCAAATCCCCTCCCCCCACTGCTGATGCAGATCCCCTCCCCCCACTGCTGCACCCGCAGCAAGGGTGGAGGAGAAGGGGGGGGGGGGGGGGGGGGGGGGGGCGGGGGGGGGGGCTGGTGCTGCAGGTCCCCTCCCCCCACTGCTGCATCCGCAGCAGGGGGATGGCAGATCCCTTCCCCCCCACTGCGGCACCCGCAGCAGGGGGAGGGAGAGGAGAAAAGGGCGGAGAGGAGGGGGGGGGGGGGGGGGGGGGGGCTGGTGCTGCAGGTCCCCTCCCCCCACTGCCGCATCCGCAGCAGGAGGAGGTAGGAGAAAGGTGGGGGACCTGGTGCTGCAGATCCCCTCCTGCCTCCCCCTGAACCTCCAGGTTTCCTCCCCCTCTCCCCGCCATCCCCATGGAGGGGGGGGAGGGGGGGGGAGGGGGGGGATGGGGGGGAGGGGGGCGGGGGCGGAGCTGCGCGTGCGACTGAAGGGCACGCGGGCAGGAGGAACCCCCTCTTGCCACCCCCTCACCCACCATGGCGCAACAGGGCACCGGGGCCGCGGTTAGGGGCGACAGGTCGCGAGGGGCCATGGCTAGGGGCACGGGGCCATGGCTAGGGGCGACGGGGCCGGGCGCTGGGCAGGTACGGGGCCGGGCGCTGGGCAGGAACGGGGCCGGGCGCTGGGCAGGTACGGGGCCGGCCGCTGGGCAGGTACGGGGCCAGGCGCTGAGCAGGGACTGGGCCGGGCGCTGGGCAGGTACGTGGCCGGGCGCTGGGCAGGAATGGGGCCAGGCGCTGGGCAGGGACTGGGCCGGGCGCTGGGCAAGTACGGGGCCAGGCGCTGGGCAGGTACTGGGCTGGTCGCTGGGCAGGTATGGGGCCGGGCGCTGGGCAGGTACGGGGCCTGGCGCTGGGCAGGTACGGGGCCGGGCGCTGGGCAGGTACGGGGCCGGGCGCTGGGCAGGTACGGGGCCAGGCGCTGGGCGCGGAATGGGGCCGGGCGCGGGGCTAGGTACGGGGCCGGGCGCGGGCAAGAGACGGGGCCGGGCGCTGGGCGAAGGACGGGGCCAGGCGCGGGCTTGGTACGGGCCGGGCGCGGGCTAGGTACGGGGCCAGGCGCGGGCGAGGTACGGGCCGGGCGAGGGGCTAGGAACGGAGCCGAGCGCGGGCTAGGTACGGGCCGGGCGCAAGGCTAGGTACGGGCCAGGCGACGGGCTAGGTACGGGCCGGGCGTCGGGCTAGGTACGGGCCGGGCGCGGGCAGGGGACGGGGCCGGGCGCGGGCTAGGTACGGGCCAGGTGACGGGCTAGGTACGGGCCGGGTGTCGGGCTAGGTACGGGCCGTGCGATGGGCTAGGTACGGGTCGGGCGACGGGCTAGGTACGGGCCGGGCGCGGGCGACGAAGTCGACGGGGCCAGCGGGGCCGAGGCGACGGGGCCAAGGGGCCGAGCCTAGGGGCTAGGGGCGACGCCAAGGGGCGACGGGCCGGGGCCTAGGCTAGCAGGGCAGTAGGTGGTGGGCCCATTAGCATTAGGTCCTAGGACTAATTGCTCTTAATACCATGTTAGAATCTTAGGCGATAATGGTTGACTAGGAAAAGGGAAGGGGTACAAGTAGAATGTCGAGAGAAACTTTGTACCCCCTAAGGCTAAACCCACTATAGCCTAGACAACTATAAACACATAAACTAAGCCTAGATATAACTAGGCATATATGTTTGACAGCCGGAGGCTCCACTGGGTACCAGCAGGAAACGACCCAGTGAAGCTAGGTGGGCAGCGCAGCCAGATCTCCTCGTGCAGGCTGCCCTGTAGGAAGGCTGTGCTGAAGTCAAGAGAGTGTAGCTCGTAGTCACGCTGAGCGGCGACGTGCAGCAGCACCCGAAGAGTGGTCATCTTCGAGATAGGGGAGAAGGTATGGAAGAAGTCAACTCCCTGTCACTGACTGAAGCCTCGTGCAACGTAACGCGCCTTGAAGACAGGCGGAGAACCCGGCGGCCGCTTCACCCTGAAAATCCACATGCCACTGATGATGTTCGCCCCAGGCGGGGGAACCTCGTCGACGTAGGTGCCTGTGGACTTCTAGGAAGCCATCTCTGTGTCCATGGCTGTCTGCCACTGAGAGGAGTAGGGACCCTCCATCGCCTCTGCGTAAGAGCGCGGGGTCGGGATGTCTGGTGCATCCGGGTCTCCCTCAGGGGCAATCAGCATGGACACGAGATGAGGTAAAGCAGCGGCAAAGCACTCAAACTCCTCCTGTCTGTCCTCAAGGATGTCCGTGCCAAGAGCAGACTCACCCCCGACGGACGGAGGAAAGACAGACGCAGACCCAGACTCAGCAATAAGACTAGTGGCGTAGTCTAGACGACAGGCGGCAGCAAAGTCAACAAGCTCAGCAACTAGAGCAGACGCATCAGTGGACTCAAACGATGGGACAGTGACAACAGTGGCCAGGAAACGCGTGACAGTAGGACTATTAGCACGAAAGGAGTCAGACTCCGGGTCCGGACCGTCAGGAAGAGAGGACGCAGGAGGAGTCGGCAGAGGGACACGCTGTGGAACAGTGGAAGGACGCAGAGTCATAGAGTGAGTGCCGGGGACAGGAGGAGGACGCTGCCGCGGAACACGTCGACCAGTGCGAACAGGCAACTCAGGACGAGACTCAGGGGACGCAGGACGAGACTAAGGCAATGCAGGACAAGACTTAGGCTCACGACGCTCCGTAAGACCTCTAGTCGATCCAGAGTAAGGAGAAGGACCAGGCAGTGGAGAGGCTGGCTGTAACTGCGACTGTGACTCGACAGGCGGTGGAATCAGTAAGGGAAGAGTAGGACAAGAAGAAGGCGGGAGACCAAGAACCTGCTGAAGGAGCGGAACGTAGTACGGCTGCGGCCGCGCAGCGCCTCCAGAAACAGCAGAGACAGCACCAGTACCCTCAGCTCCAGGGTCTCCATCTACAACTCCCGCAGCACCACCAGCTCCAGTACCTCCAGCAGCTCCAGCTCCAACATCACCTCCAGTAGCAACAGCTCCAGCACCTACAGCTCCAACTCATGCAGCACCACCAGCCCCAGCAGCTCTAGTACCTCCAGTACGAGCACCTCCGGGACCAGATGCTCCAGCACCTCCAGCAGCTCCAACACCAGCAGGACCTCCAGCACCAGCACCTGTAGGACCAGCGGCACCAGCAGCTCCAGCACCAGCAGCACCTCCAGCAGCCCCAGCTCCAGAAGCACCTCCAGCAGCAGGCCCCGTAGCTCCAGCAGCACGGCTACAGCGCCGAGCGTACCAGTCACGTAGCCGCTGAGGAGAGAGGGGCTCCCGCCGTGACGGTACACCCGGAGGTCCTCCAGAATCAGCACGCTCAGGCTCAACACCCCCAAGCTCAGCACCCCCAGGCTCAGCACCCCCAGGCTCCACACGCTCAGGCTCAGCACCCCCAGGCTCCGCACCCTCAGACTCAGCAACCCCAGGCTCAGCACCCCCAGGCCCCGCACCCGCAGGCTCAGCACCCCTAGCAGCACCTGAGTCGACAGTTACCTCGACAGGCTCGACAGGGTCTACCTAGGACACACCTTAGGGGGCAGGACCCTGAGGGGGAGTAGGTCTACCGGAGGAGCACCTGGTGCTAGGAAGAGTGGCGGGGGGGGGAGAGGGGCAATGCGGTAGGGAAAGAGACGGTAGTAAGATACCGACTCGTCAAACGTGACATCCTAAGAGGACAGAACACGACACGAGGTGGGGTGGTAAAACTGCCACCCAGGTGCGTCAGGGGGGAAGCCAAGGAAGACGCAGGGAACGGCACGGGAGGACAGCTTGTCCGCGGAAGTATCACGGACAAAAACTCGAGATCCCCAGACACGGAACACAGACGCATCGCCAACCTTCCTCGTCCACCGCAGAGTAGGTGTGGTCTCCGGCAAGGAGACACGAGGCTGAAGGTTGATCTGATGCGCAGCGTACTGAACCGCGAACGGCCACAGAAAATGGGGAGCAGCCGCATGGATCATGGACGTACGAGCGATGTCCATGACCATGCCAATGCGGCGCTCAGCAATCCCATTTTGCTGTGGGGAGGCCGGAAGCGTGAACATCTGGCGGATGCCCTCTGCACGACAGAAGGCCCTCTGAAGGTCGGAGGAAAACTCACCACCTCTGTCGGAGTGTAGACGCAGAACAGGAAGGTCCGAGCCGAAACTCTCGTTGAGCTGGCGACGGGCACCGCAGATCCAGTCGATCAACACCTCAGTGACCTCACCCTTGCGGCGCAAGGGGATGACTGTGGTGTAACGCGAGTAGTCGTCAACGACCAGCAGGAAGTAACGCTCATGACCCTGTCCACGGACGCGGGCTGGGCCCCACACGTCCATGTGGAGAGTCTTCAGGGGAGCCTCTGTCGGAGGGAACTCGGAGGAGTGAGGAGCGGCGCGCTGCCGGCCCTCGACACAAGGAACACAGGTAGGGGCAGGCCCCGGAGGAAGGGGAGGGAGGGGCTGGGGGAGACCCGAGACAAGGGTACGGGAGGCCATACCTCGAAGACGAGGCAGGGAGGGATGACCAAGGCGGTGGTGCCAAAGGAGAGTCTCGTGTGACAGAGGACGACATGAGCAGGGGGCAGAAGCTGGACTTGACCTGGACGCGGCAGAAAACACCTGACCAGACGCGGCTACCTGACCAGACGCAGTAACCGGAGGAGATGCAGTAGTCAGTGTGTACAGACTCGACCCAAGCCGACGGGTGAACGTGGCCAGGTGGCGGCCAGTCCGAGAGCAAGTGCAGTGGGTCACACGCTGACCTCCAGGGGTGAACTGGTCAACCCACAAGTCCTGAAGGTCAGCTCCACTCACCAAGTTCGTAGAGAACGAGGGGAGGTGGAGTCCCGACAGCAAGCCCGACGGGGCCGCAGGACACGGTAGAACCGTGGAAGAGTGCGCAAGGATTGGGCCCCCAGAGGGGTCAGCCAGGGAGACTGCGACAGGCCGACTGAGCGGCGTGAGTGTGGTCCTGTCGCAAAAGAAGGAGCGCGAAGCACCAGAGTCAAGTGTGAAAGTGTGCAAGGCCTCAGTAGGTGCAGTACCAGAGAGAGCAGACTCACCAGCACATGGAGTTGCCGACTGACTAGTACCTGGAGCAGCAGACTCACTAGTACCTGGAGCAGCAGACTCACTAGCACCTAGAGCAGCAGCCTCAATGCCCGGGTTGGTCGGAACACACAGGTAACAGTCACCCTCAGCACTATCAGTCACAGCATACATGGCAGCAAGGATAGCATCGAAATCAAGATCAAAGATAGCAACATTCTGCTTAAGCAGATCACCCCAGCGAGGGAGCTCAACAGCGTCAGGAAACTGGGCGCGCCAGGCGTCAGTCAGGCGACCGAAGCAGTGCTGCGTAGTGTGTGGCAGCCCGCACGTCTCCCCACGGTGCCCGCCGGTGCGAAGAACGTAAGTGCAGGGACCAACACCCCCAGACCTCCCACGCCCAGCGTACCACTCACGAAGCTGCTGGGCTGACGGGGTCTCACGGGAACGCGGCTGCTGCTGGCGCTGGCTACCACCAAAGCCTCCACGCTGCGCGGCTGCACCTCAACCAGCACCACCGCCGCCGCCACCTCCACCACCATTGCCGTTGCCTCCACTGCCGCTGCCGCTGCCTCCACCACCCCCACCGCCGCCACCGAAGCCCCCACTCCCGCCACCACCCCCACCTCCACCGCCACCCCCTCCGCCTCCTCCACCGCCTCCACCGGCGCCCCCACCGTCCCCGTCACCACCGTTGCCCCCCTTGCCCTTGCTGTTGCGGCGCCTCCCACTAGGAGCAAACGCAGTCCCGACCTCCTCAGTGCCAACGAGGTCGATAGCAGCAGGAGAAGCAACAGAGGGGAGAAGGGGGACAAGGGAACACCACTCAAAGAAAGGGGCGCGAGGGTCGCCGCGAGAAGCACCTATAGCAACGATACTCTTCTCAGCTGTAGTGAGGCGCTCCTCTAGCAGGTCGACGGTGAGCTCGGTGGGGCAAAGGGAGAGAAAGTGGTCCCTGACTGAAGAAAGGGAGTCAGGGAGTCGGGTGACTAGGTAGTAAAGGGTGATGTACATGGGGGGGGGG